GAGCCCAGCAGGTCGAGGCTGCGGTGGCCGGGAGCGGCCACTGCACTCCAGTCAGGGAGACAGAGTGAGACTCCAACTCAAAAAAAAAAAAAAAAAATATATATATATATGTATATATATATATGGCTAACAAAAGAAAAAGAATTAGTAGAAAGAGCCTCTTTTGTAAATTTATGACTTCTATTTTAATTCCATTTTCCTTTGCTTGAACCTTTCTGCATAAATAAGACTAATACTTTGATCTCTTTAATTTCAGTATTTGGTAGAAAACTTAAGTTTTTTGCTCTGTCTCCATAGGAAAATAACTAGAATATAGGTGAATAGGTAAGTAGATAATAGCACATAGGTAGGCAAATGGGTATATAAGAAAAGCAGAAGTGAGAAAAGAGGAATTAAAGAAAGAAACAAAGAGAGAAAGAGAAAGACTTTTCTATGTTTCTTTTGTTTCTTAATGTAGACTTTTACCACGTAATTTCCTACACATTCCCTTGAAATTTTTATCTCTTTTCTATGGATAATACAGAATTGAATCACTAGAATATATACACACCAGCATTGGTTGTGAATGTAGTGGTGATGAACAGCAAGCTAAGAAATCCTGATTCTCTTAAAACTTTCACCAGAATTCCTTCTGTTTTTTAGAACTCCAACCAGCAGTTTGGAGACATATCATTTATCATTAAGAAAACGTTTTGCTTTGTCTATTCTGTGACCATAGCTCTGTAGAATATACAGAAAGTTTCAAGTAATCTTGATACTGTCCACCACTAGCTAAATGACTTTGAATCCTTTTCATCTTCTATAAAATGGGGCTAACAGAGAATGTGGGTTGAACCTTATTTTCAGTACATTTAAATTCTTATTTTACTCAATCTTAATCTTCTACTTTTAACTATACTTAATTATGCCATCATATGTCATTTCTTATAACTCTTGGTAGAAAGTGATATTCTATAAGGACAGAAAATAATCTATGAGCCTTAAAATTTATGAAAGAGATTTAAATTTTTTTGAAAGAGATATTATTTTGTGAGGCATGGAGAGTTGCATACATTCTCAGGGGTAATTCAGAATGCATAACTTTAAAGTCACAGGTTAAGGGAGATATTTAAGTCAGATGTTGATTCTGTTTTCAAGGAGCTAGTAGTTTAGGAGGAGAAATAAGAAAGATACAAAGATATAAATAAATATAATGTGTAAAGGGATAATGAGTAAAAATTTTATTGTGACTTAAAAGAAACGGTAGAAATTTAATTTGATTTTGGTATTTAAAGGTACATAGGGTTTGGATGTATGAAAATGAGGGACAGACTTTCCAAGGGGAAGGAAAATAGCTATGTAAGTTTTTGTAGAAATATGATCAACCATAGAACCAGAAATCTTGAATGCCAGTCAGTACACATGGTTTTTGAAAACTATCTGGTTAATTAGTTCTGTGTTCAGTCATTCTAGATAGCTCAAGTTCTAAAATATGTACTTCCAGCTTGTGTTATTATGTTAACTAACTCTAGCTAAATTAAGAAGATAGTTGCTATATTTTCCCTTTATTTTCTATTATTTAAAGCAGATAATAGGGGCTGAAAGTCTTCAAGATGGTTTTGAAAAAAAGAAACTCCTTAGAAATCATGTTATATTATAAATGTATAGCTCTCTTTGCTTTTGTGCAGCCTCTCTGAATAAAACATTTCATTTCTTTATGTTTCACTTTCTCTACAAGAACTCTCCACTTCATAAAATGAGCTGTAAACTCCATTTCCAGCTCGCAGAAATCCCACGAAGAGCTGCAAACATGTCAACAATTTTATTCCTGTGCTTTCAGTTCCAGTCTAGGCAGGGTTAGTCAGCATGCCAAGCATAGGAGCTGACCATAAACACAAGATCAATTATTAGACTCAGATCCTTTGAAAATAGAAATTATATATCTGCAACAAAATTGGCAGATCTGTTATATATTTCAGATCATCCCAGGAATTTCTCTGGTGATAGTCTTTATCATTCTGCCATGACATATCTGCTGGTTTCTACCCTATTTCTATGCCACAAATATTCTCCAGCTAGCTAGGAATGCTGCCCTTGAACAATGGTTTTTAAACTACTGAAGGTAGAGTTCACAGATATGCTTCAAGGGTCTTCAGCCCTCCTCTTCATTCAGAGATGGTTTCTTTCATATATGGATATTATATATATATAATTTTTTTACATATAATAGTGTTAAGAGAAATACTTTTTACATGAAAATGTATTGTGAAAATCTCTTCATTTGTCTCTCATGTGTTTTGTACTTTTAAATATTAGTTTTTCACTTAAATTATTTAAATAGTAATCATGTATGTCTTAAAATATTAAAACCAGTCAATTATGTCTATCAGGATCAGAGCCCAGATTATAATTTCAGAGTTCAAAAGCATACAGAGTACTTAGTAGCACTGCAGGGAGTCAATGAGGCTGCCTTGAAATCTATGACCCATCTTTGGTCCTATGTGAAACAGGTTTAATTCACACTTATTAAAGGCAGCTCACAGAGCTTAGTGTCATATTATAGTATATGTAATAGATATTTATGCCGCACTGTGTATTCATACATGCTGGCCCTTATTATGCATGCACATCTATTATAGACAGCACAGGACACTGGAAGACAGGTTGGATTTAGAATGAGAGCTTAACTTTGAATCTCACTAGTGTCACTTTCTTGGCAAGTACCCTAACTTCTCTGAGCCTGTTTTTGATTTTTAAAATAGGTATAGTTGTAAATAATAGGTATATGCAGGAGAGGTTTCTAAAGAAGAGGTTGTATAAGGTACTATACAACTATGCTAGATAATGTTATATTATTATCTCATCATGAGAAGAATTTGTCAGGAATACCTTACACATAATAAAGTCGGTAAATTTTGGGTTTTGGGTGAAATTATATTCATCTTTGCCATATTGGTATATTGGTTCAGCGTCCAGTAGTGATGAAAACGTGTTTCCTTGGTGATTGGCTTAGATCATGAACATGGGCATGTAACTAAATATACATCAGGGTGAGTACTTTGGGAGTCTTTGGTAAATGGTCTGCCTGCCACTTCCTCAAGTGGGTGAAAAATATTGGTTCTGTTGTCTTTTTCTTAACCTTCATGCCAAACAAACCCTAATGACTGATCTTAGAAATTGCTCTTGGTTTAATAAGTATTAAATGTGAATAAAGACAGATCCTTTCTTTTAATGACATTTTACTTCGTGTGTTAAAAGATATTTTTTTCTTTTTGAAGCCTGTTAATTTAGAAAACATCTTATTTATCTTTCTACCTCATATAGTGAATTATCTAATGTATAGTATGATAAAATAAATTTTTGATATCATATTTTTACATAATAATTCAATAAATGGAATTTACCATTTATTGTGAAGACCTACTACTTGATTCCATGATATGAAATTTAAAAGTGAATATATATATGTATATTTTTTATTTCAGATTAAGTCTCTCAGCAAAAATCTGTGAGAAAACAGTCCTAAAGCGAGTTTTGAAAGAGCTATGGAAGCTAGTTCTTAACAAAATAGAAAAACAAATTGTTCTTCCTCCTCTGACAGATCAAACAGTAAGTATTTAAAGGTTAGTTATATTTTTGATCCAGATGAAATACTAAATAAGTTGATTTTGGTAAAAAGTGTTTCGTATACAGTTTCTCAATAATGATCATCCAAATTACATTTTCCTACCCAAATCAATTTTAAGTAGTGGCAATAAAAGTTGAATTTCACAGTTCCTTGACATCTAAAATTTTATCTCTTAGAAAAGTATCAGTGTTTAATTTATAGGGTTATCTTGACTCTATTTTTTTAAGATTTTATTGTGACTGCAGGAAAAGTGATTTAAGATATGATATACCCACTCTGCTTCTTTCTTAAGTTTTACAGTTTAGTTCTGACACTGCTATGTGGAATTTTTTTCACCCTTCCATTCTGCTTTCATCTATTACCTCTCCATTTGGAGGTTAATAGAGGAGACACCTTTTAGTGAATTTGAAGAATGTGATTATATCACACACAGTAAAATAAAAAAGAACCAGAAAGATCAATTGGCAGCAAAGTTGTAGACAATGGATATGTGGATACATAGTGCCAAGCATCTCAGTTCACATACTCTGAACCAAGCAAGAAAAAAATAACCTTAAGAAACACCTGTTATGGAGTAATTAATCTTTTTCCTCTGTGATTGAGAAAGATAAGTTGAATCAAATTATGAGCAATTATAAATGGAACTAAAATATGTATTATACATTACTTATACACATTCAATCCATGTTTATCTAGTTAAATTATAGGCCTAGAAAATATTTTCTTGTAATATGTTTCACGATGTAAAGATACATATGTTTTTGTTGATCTACTGCCAGACACTGAGTAATAAAATATAAATTACTTTGAGTTTTACTTAATGCTATGAATATGTGCTTTAATCATTTACCGCCTACATATATACAGGTGGCCAAATCACATTTATAAGTATACACACACTCCTAAACACATACCTCATTCTGCCAGAATGCATAATACATTTCTGTAACATCCATTAGCTTTCATGCAATTGTTCAATAAGGGAATGATGTCAGTATAATCTGGAAGTTGGGTAGGTTTAGATATATATGTCCCCAGGTCAGAGAATCTAGAATATAGTAGAAGAACTATAACTTTAGCCAAAAAGAAAAACACTTTCACCTTGCCTACTGTACAGGTCTGCTTTTAAAAGAAAACAAAGGGGAGTATATAATACATATAGGCTCGCTCTCCAGGAAGATGCACCTTGTACTACTTTAACACATGGCAGGCTATCTACTGTCTGTGTTTGGAGAAGCTCCACTTGCCTGGACTTTGTCTCAGCCCACTATTGCACTCTATTGTTTTGTTGTTGTTTATTTGTTTGGCAGAAATTTTTAAATTCCCTTGAGGTAGCCATCCGCCTCACTAAGTTCCCTGCTGGCTGTCTAAGCCATTTCCCAAAGCAGAAATTGTTGGTTTTGATAGTCCTTTAGTAACAAAATTGCATGCCCTTTAATGTTCTGCCCATTGCTTTTTTCCCCATAAACTCCATTACATCCACAATTTTGTAGAATATGAAGCTTATATCATGTTGCAGTAGAAATGCTATATATGACATTTTATTTCCTCTATAAAGTTTTCCCTAGGAAAGTCTACCATCACCGAAATTTCTCTAACATTGGGATATCTCTAATGGATTAGACAACATTTCAGGAGGAGCAACTCTACCTTTTTATCTATATATACTGAGATTTTGCCCTATATTTTTTAGTCCTATGTCTTGAAATATTTTGAGGGGAAGTGGAGTGAAGAAGTTGCTTCTGCTAAAAATAAATAAATAAGAGTTAAAGATTATTGAATTAATTCATATGCCACATTAAACTGCCTACATTAGTAGTAACTCATTCAGTTACCCAAACTTAAGATGTTGAGAAGTGAAACACCTTTGAGGACTATTATACTGCCAGTGCTAGATATCTTTGACCCAATCTTTAAAATAAACCATTTAAGGACATCTGACATAAAAGGCTAAAATAAAATAAGGGAAATTAAAAAATTATCTACTGACTCCATTTCTGCTCTAATAATAAAGATCTTAACATTGAATCTTCTCTCTCTTTTTCTTTGTTTCTAGGGACCCCAGATGATTTTCAGTGCAGCTAAAGATCTTGGACAATTATCTAAACTGAAGGTAATAAGACTAAGAAAAATACTCATTGTCCATGAAAAGTAATGAGCTACCTACAGTTCTGCAATAAACTAGCCTACTACTAGTAATGGTATCTAGTGTGGCAGTATTAAGAATATGTATTTCTGTGATCTCACAATATACTTTAAGAATTTTACCTTTAAATCTTCACATTTTTCATTATTGCTTTTGGAGTAAATTAGAGTACATATTTTCTTTCATATATTAAGCTGGCTTCATATAAGTGAAGACAAATTGAACACTGCAAATAAATCCAGTGACATTTATAGAGGTCTTAAAGCCAAGAAACACAATATAAGAAAACGAAACTATCGAAGTAGACATTGAACTTGTCGACATGTTCAATCCCATTATAAATGGGGATGTTTTGACTAAATAACCGTACCCTTAGTTATCACTTGAGAGTCCCAAAACTTTGGAATTATACTGGAAATCTCAGTCCCTGTCCCTGTAGAATAGAAATTCTATCGGCTAAAATGCATGTTATTTTTATTCCGTTTCTACCAACTAGAATATAGTTAAGGGATGGGTTCCAGACACAGGTGACCTTGACTCAAATTCTTCTTCAACTTCTTTCAACTATGTGACATGGGCCAAAATATGTAACCTTCCTAATCTTCAGATGTGGCATTTGTAAAATGCAAAAAAAAAAAAAATTAATACTTGATTATTGGAATTGTTGTGAGAATAAATAAGATAATGAATATATTATCTTTGCTTGGTAACTGCAATGAGTATGTCACCTCCCAGGAACATCTTGAATGAAGGTGCTATCTTCATTCTCCCCCAGCAGTTATCTCAAAGTTAGATATCACTGGGTATTGTATTATTTTTTATGTACAGCAAAGGGGAAGGATAGTCAATGTGCATAATTATTTACTAAACATGTACCTTGCAATTTCAGTATCCTGTTTTATAATTCACATTATTCTCTTACTGAGAAAGAATGAAAAATAACAATCAATCTAGATGCATAATTATCACCTAAAATTGTTTCTCACAGGTGTTCAATGCTATTGATAGTTGGGAGGAAAGATAAAAGGTAGATGTCACTACCAAACTATTGTTTTGGATCTTGGATCACAATCCTTTTTAAAAATCCCTTTTATTCCCTTCCTGGAATTTCTGGAACCTACTTTGAAAGTGGATTTATACAGTGCTGAAGTTTCTCACATAAAACCATGAAGCTGAAATAGCGTGGGTCTTATTACATAAGAAATGGCCCTGGCCATGTGTCTAGCATGTGTTTGATGCCAGTAAACACTCTATCTCCCCTGGCTTCAGTTTTCTGAGTTGAATGTTCTATCAGCTAGAACTGTTTTACTTTCAAGTGATGGCAAGCCAAATTAATATAAGAGGAGAGGGAATGTATTGCTACACAAAATTTTGTAGTCCAGGGTTAACTCTGGTTTCTGCTTGATTAGGGATGCAAACAACGTTACAGGACCTGGTTACTCTCTCTCTCAACTCTGCTCTTTTCCTTATTTGATATATTGCCATAATAAACCTTCCTTTCTATCTGTACGATGATTATCTCTTCTCTCACATCCTTTGATGTAACATTCTTTGAACTTGAAATCTTACAGAAAAGAACACTCATCTCAGTTCAAGGAATCCCAGCAAAGTCTGCTGACACATCAGTGGCTCTGAAAGAAGACCCACCCCTGAGCTGGTAGATGCAGTCAGCCCTGTCCAAATCTTATGAACTCTGAGATAATCTTATGCAAAAAATTTGAAACTGTCTCCCCTAGAAGGTGTATGCATGTATAGTGAGTGGGAACAATTTGAGTCCACAGAAGACATAACATTTTAGCATTCTTTGTGGCCCCCAAAATTTTCAACTCAGTGAATTATCTTTTAATTCTAATCATCTAAAAGCACACCATGGATAAAAAGACCTAACAGGATTATTTTATCAACATTGAAATAATCTAAAGGATCAAAAATAGGATCTGATTATCCACTGATGAAAAAAATAACTTAGTTCAGGATCATGTTATTCTATTGTTGGCCCTTGGTTTTTAAAAATTATCAGTCCATCTAATTATTATTATTTGAATTACAGAGTAATAAATCATCTACAATCTTATACATAAAATTTGAAACTTCAGCTGACATGGAGAACTTCACATTTTACAAAGCTGTTTCCTCTTATTTTGATAGAATGTCACTTTCATTTTTAAAAACTCCTATTTAAACCATAGATTTTTAAATTTATAATATATTAGTTTGAAAGAAGATTTGATCTGCTGGAGAGTTGCTATTTGAAATATTGTACTGACTGATAATTTCAAAACTCCTATTTTAAAATATTAATAGATAACTATTTAAGGGAGCACATGATCAAGAAAAATAGAACAGTGTAGAGAACTAATTGTTTTTCTGCATTTGACTATCTGTGGTTTAGGATTAATTTATTTAACACATATTTATTCAATAGTTTGACATATTTTATATTACTCATGCTCTGGAGCTTTATAATGTATATGTACTATATTTGTCTGACATTAATATTTGATATGATTGGATTTATGTGACTCAAAATAAAAGAAAATATACATAAACCTTCATGGACTGGTGATACAATATCAAAACCAGTTGATGAAAATACACCTGAGACTGTCAGTTTACTGCAAGATTTTTACTTAGTCAATCATTCATAACTGGCCTCTTTCAGAAATCCTCTTATTTGAATGAGCTGTTGTTAAACCCTCAAAAAATGATTTCTAGCAAGAATTGTATTTTTTTATAGAGCTAACAATTATTATTTATTAGTATCTGTTAAAAAATAATGTGGCCACATTATAAAACCAGTAAAGGTTGATAAAGCCAGATACATTTACTTAATATAAAATTTGTATAATTATAATTATTTTTTGTCTGAAAAAAGTATTTTTTTAATTTTATTTCAGATTTGTGGGGCGCAGGTTCAAGTTTATGACATGGGTATATTGCATGATGGTGCAATTTGGGCTTCTATTGAACCTGTCACTCAAATAGTGAAAATGATACTCCATAGATAGTTTTTATTTATTTATGAATGTATTTATTTATTTAAATTTTTTATTTTGAAGATGTGGGGTACAATTCAGGGTTAGGTATACAAATGTTCATTATGCAGGTACCCTTGTTGATGAGGCATGCCCCCTCTCCTCTGGCAGTTTCCCGCTACTGCCAATCCCTTTCTTATAGTACTATGGTAATTGTTCAAGATCCGCTTATGAGTGAGAATATATGGTACTCTGTTCTTTGTTTCTCTGATAGATCACTGAGTATGACAGAATCTAAATCCATCCAAGTTGCTGCGAAGTCCATATGTTTGTCCTTCTTTATGGCTGCATAATATTCCATTGTGTATATGTACTGCATTTTTTTTATCCAGTCCAGTTTTGATGGGCAGCACAGTTGGTTCCATGTTTTTGTTGTTGTGAATAGTGCTGCAATAAACATGTGTATGCAGGTATCTCTTTTGTAAAATGATTTGAGTTCTTCTGGGTATATTCCCAATAGGGGCATTGCTGGGTCATATGGAAGGTCAATTTCTAGTTCTTTTAGAAATCACTACACTGTCTTCCAAAGAGTTTGCACTAGTTTGCATGCCCACCAGCAGTGTAGAAGTGTTCCTTTTTCTCTGCATCCTCGCCAGCATCAGTTGTTTATTTTATTAATGATGGTCATTCTTACTGGGGTTAGGTGATATCTCAATGTGGTTTTGATTTGTATTTCTCTGATGATTAGTGAGACTGAGCACTTTTTCATGTGTCTGTTGGCTCCCGTATATCTTCTTTTGAGAAGTGTCTATTCACATCTTGCCCACTTTTTTAATGGGGCTGTTTGTTTTTTTCCTTTTGACGTGTTTGAGTTCCTTGTAGATCCTAGGTGTTAGGCCTTTGTCAGACATACAGTTGGCAAATATTTTTCTCCCATTCTGTGGACTGTCTCCCTGCTCTCTTGATGGTTTCTTTGACTTTGCAGAAGCTTTTCATTTTGATGAGATCCCACTTGTCTATCTTATCTCTTATGGCATGGGCACTTGGGGTTTTGATCAGGAATTGGTTTCTAAAGCATTTTCCTTATAATTCAGCAAATATTTTCTAATACTCATTGAGTCTTCCAGGGTGTTTAATATTACTATTTTTTTAATATGAAATGAACTCATATGTTTTAGTTGAGATCCCTATATCAGAGAAAGCTGCAGTAAATGCATAAATGTATATCCTGGATCCATGAAACATTACACTGTATTTTTAACAATATCCTAAGACAATGATCCTATTCAAGTGTATTGAACCCTATCAAATATGCTGAAGGAAGTACAGTTCAACTATGATAAATATATTGAGTGCTATAGGTCACAACTGCCAAAATAGACATTGAAAAGCTGAAGATGTATGTGCGACATAGATAGAGATTATCTTCAGGAAGTCATAGAAACTACTAAATAAGGAAAGGGTCAGAGTAGTAAAAGAAGGCACTAGTTGTGATTTCATGATTTGGTATTGCACAAAAGTGCCTTACTAAGGGAGTAAGTGGCAGCTGGAATCGAGCCCATGCACCACTTGTCAAGCCACGTGGAGCTATACCCTTGTGGAAAAGAGACACTTTTTATTACAGATTGAAGGCACTATTTTATTAATCAAGTTATGTATTCTCAGAGCTGTGTTCACCCACATGGAACTTTTCTTCTAATACACACAAAGGTACCTACATAAGTTTGAATTTAAGCTCCAAAGGACAAAAGTCTCCCTTTTGTTGACCAATATATCTCAATCATATAGAACGGTAATGGCACAGAATAAGCACAATATTTGTTGAATGTTGTCAAGCAAAATAATGGCAACTCTGGAAAGACTGTATCAATTTGGGGGAATCAGAAGTTTAAAAATTTTCTCTTAGACAAATTTATATTTTCTTTATTATTTTCTCTTTCTACTACCATTATTTTATCTTTCTACTACCATTCCCCTGAATAAGCTTTGAATGATCAATTGAGACATGCCACAATGAATAATGAAGAAAATTCATTGTAAAATAAGGAAATCAGTTCTAAAATATTAAAATGATTATAAAATATTGAAAATCTCCAGAGCCAAATTCAGTCAATTCTCTGGGGCTTTTTCCAGTAATGAGTAATAATTGAAAGGAATCAAGAAAGACAATAAAGTGGGGCCATTATATTTTAAATAGACTTTATCAGTAGTAATTGGGAGAAGCTAAAATTTTTCCTTTAATCCCCTCCATGATTGACATTACCCAATGTGGCAGACATAAAGCAAGGAATTCAGGTGAAAAAGCTTTGGTACACATTTTTCCAGGTTTCTCTCTTTCTCTTTTTTTTTTCCATTAACAAGTACAAGTTCATGTCTTGCAAGTGAAACATAAAGCCACATCTATATCAAAGCACTGCTTTTTAAGTAGACATTTTTTCCCTTTGGTAAATTGAATATTTAATAAATATATAACAAAATAATCATTTTAAATACATCTATATGAAGAAGATATTTTAAATAGAATATGTTTACATATGAGAATTATTCAGATTGTATTTGAAAGTAGTTGTTGAATAAATAAACTGGTTATTTTATAAACAATTGTTAACCTGTTTTCCAGGAGCACATGATTCGAGAGGATGCCAAGGGTCTGACACCAAGACAATGTGCTATAATGGAAGTGGTCCTGGTTACCATCAAGGTAAGACTATAGTGGTCCTGGGATGCCTCCATGTCCCTCCAGAGATAAATAACCCTGATGCATAGCTATAGAACTGTTCCATCCATGGATATAGTAAATAATTGAATAGATACATTCCTGGAGTGTGCTAGACTCAGCCCTTTTTATCTGATTGCATCCTTATGATGTTGTCCTCATACTTACTCCTTTTGTCTCTCTCTGAAAAAATGTATGTGAAACCTATGTTGTAACATATGTTTTCAAAGAAAGACATATACTCCAAAACAGATGCACCAAGATAATTTGGGATTAACATAATTTGTCTTGATGTTTTTTATGCTTTTTGTAATAATTTTTTAAATATCAACCTTTTTCTCTTAGGAAGTAAAATAATTTAATTTTAGTTTTTGCTAAAAACCAAAAGACATTGTGTTGGGTGAGTCATTCTTTTTTTTTTTTTTTCATAGCCAAAGGTTTACTACAAGATATTGCAGTATTGGATTAGTGTGTGCAGATCTCAAGATGTAATGTAGTTCTTTGTTTTCAAATAATTTCTTTTAAATCTATATACATATGTACATTAATCTGTGAAAGTTTATTAAAGGCTTTGAAAAATGAGTTTATCATCTAGATTCAAATTATGTCCAATGTTTCCACTATTTATTGAGGGGAAGTATCTATTATCCAGGATGTGTAAACAGAATAGCAAAGAACTGTTGGCTGCCATGAGCCATTTGTAGAGCACCAGATAGTTCCATTGGAGAGAGAACGCCAAATTCTAACCACTAGACTACCAGGGAAATTCCATTGGAAAGAAACAGGTATTACGATGGTATCCATTAAAACAGAGTTCTGTCTAAATCATGATTGCATCCTTTCACAAAACTGCTACCTCATAGTTTTTGTTTTGCAGTTTTAGCATTTAATATGCAGCCATCTTTACTGTTGCACTGTTGAAACTGCAAAATTAAAGTTGGGAGGTAAGAGTTTTGTGACATCTGGTGGCAACTGAGATGTCCCAGTTTATGTAGTGTGATTACAGAAATGGAGTTTCTAAGGATGCAAGAGTTCTGTTTGAAAATCTGGAAATTCCACAAATTAATTTTGAGAGAAAAATGGACAACATAAAAAAGAAACAAGAAAAAAATTCAAAACCATTCTTTTAAAAAATATTTTCAAAATTTTGAAGAAGAAACAACTAAGTTCTGGAGTTATAGGAACATTCATGACTATAAATAGAGACATGCTAGTAGAAAAAAAATGAGAGCACTAAAGTATACCATGAAGAGAGAAAAAAATACTTTTTAGTATCTGAATTTAGATCTTCATAGATTTAATAGGTTAATGCATGACTTTTAGGAAGGAAAATGTGCCTGTGGAAATAGGGAATGACAGTCAATGTGTTGGCAGAGCTGGCTCCTGTCCCCAACCTCAACATTCCTCTAATTATTCTTGGTGGGGGCAGATGACCACTACCTGCAAGCCAGGTTCTTCCAAGACTCTGAGATAATCTTGGTCCCCAAGCAAATTATTTTGATCCACATCTTGACAGCTCAAATATCCTATCTTCTTGTACAGAACATCCGAATAACATTTTAATTCAGTCTCAGACGCAAGACATTTAACCTTGTTCTTTGGGGACAAAACTATTATCTGAAGTCCAAGATCCAGTAAATGGGGTCATGTTATTTGTCTCATTCCTCAAGTTCTGGAGTCTGACTCTGGTCTTCTTGAGCCTCTGAACCTGTGAGAGCCTTTGGTCAGGTCTTTAGTTTACCTATTCCCTAACTTTCGTGATACCAACTCTTCCTGTAGGAATCTCCATGCTAGACCTGCTGTGCCTACTATCAACCTCTCTTGACCCTGTGACCTACCCATCTGTCAAAGTATTCACCTGATATCTGAATTTCAATGTCTGTCAGTTTGCCAAAGCTAAGACTCCCTTTATCTTGTCTGTCTCTGAGATTTGCCCCAACTGACTGTCCTACCAAACAGTAATTCTGAAATTCACTACAAAGGAGTTCAGGAAGAGGAAGAACACTACTTAAAAGAGTTTTATTAGCCGGGCTCGGAGGCTCAGCCTGTAATCCCTCGCCTTTGGGAGGCCGAGGTGAGTGGATTGCCTGAGCCCATGGGTTCGAGACCTGCCTGGGCAGGCGAGACCTCATCTGTACAATAAATCAAAAAATTAGCCAGGCGTGGTAGCGCGCGCCTGTAGTTCCAGCTACTTGGAAGGCTGAGGCGGAAGGATCACCAGAGCCCACAGGTAGAGGCTGCGGTGGCCGGGAGCGGCCACTGCACTCCAGTCTGGGCAACAAAGTGAGACTCCAACTCATAAAAAAAAAAAAAAAGAGTTTTATCTCCAAGGGTTAGAAATTCAATGTCTGCCTAGAACCCAGCAAAAGGAGCACTATAATGCAAGCAAAGGCCTCATGAGGAAGATGTTCTTACACCAAAGCAACAGATGCTACCCTGGTTTATTCCCAGAGTCTGCCAAAGAGATGATCCTTTAACTCAATTTAATTGAATCAGCTGGAAATGAAAAAAAAACAAAGAAGAATGCTACAGAATTTGAAGAATACAGGCTGAAGTAATGTTTAGTATTTTTCAAATCTCTCATGTACCTACATCATTTCACCTGATCTTTGTAAGCATCCTTTGTGTTACATAGGTCAAGAAAGATCATTCATATTTGATAAATGAGAAAACTGAAGGTAAGGGGATTTAAGTTGTTGATCCAAGGCAACAACACTGCTAGTAATTAGCAGAGTTGAGAAGGACTCCAAATTCTAAAGTCAGTGTCCTTGCTTCTATGTTACATTTTTTCACTAAATGTTTACAAAGTCTAAGTAAAGTGGAGCAGGCCAAAATGGATAATATTTCTTCAGAGAAACTAATCACTTCATTCTGAATTACAATACTATATGCCAGTTATTCAAATTATTTTCTAATTATTTAAAATAATTTGAAATCTTTCAGCCTATAAATCTTTTGATGAAAATATTAACTTCCCTAAATACTAAAACTTTAATTAGGCTAGAGCTATTTTGTAACACCAGTCACATGTAGTTTCAATTATAAGTCAAGCATGCCAAATATGGCAGAAGTAACACAAATTATGGTCATCAGTTATAGGTATGACGGTTAGACTTTGAGACATTCCATTCACCTGACCTAGCAACCAAATCAATAGTGTTTGAAAGTAAAATCAGTAAGATGGCAGCTATGAGAGAGATGACCAACAACCTAATCTGTATGTGCAAACAAATGGAGAAGCCAGTAGGGAAGCCTTAGTTTGAAGGGGTCCTAGCTAGGCTTTGTGTTCCAACCTTGCCTCTCAAGAAGACTCGAGATTGCCTTTATATTCCCTGAAATGTAGGTTTCTTTCACAGAGAAACAGGAGAACTTTCCCCCAATAGAAGCTACTCTTTGACTTGAAAAAACACCTGACTGGCTTGATTTTTTTCACCCTTTTAATTTCCCCTGAAATCTTTGTTATATAGACCTAATCATAATGCAATATGTGGTACAGATGCATTTGACATCATGCAGTGACAATACAGAGTTTTCTCTAAAAATAATAAACACGTGGACCACGGCCCTCTAGAATTCTGCATTTCTGCAATAGGGAAAATAATTTAGACTATACATTCAAATATAAGTTCAGAATTGACTTATTACTTTCTCATTTAATCCTAGATAATACTATTTGTTATATTCAAGATTTCAGACAAACAAAACAATATGGTGATGAACCACATTGTATGTCTCTGGGTTTCTTAAGCTCACTGAGGTCCTGCTCTATCCTGCTATTCGTTATCCAGGAGGCAATTTCGGTGACTGCTTCTCAGCATCTTTTTTTTTTTATCATTGCAAGTATAGTTTTTGCTTTATTTATCCAGCTGCTCATGAGAAGAACAATGTAACCTACCTAGTCTGGAGTATGGCAATTCAAAGATAATTACTCAAGAACTTCTTGTAGGTAGAAAATATGATAAATAATTAGAAGGTAGATAGAGATGAAAGCACTTACCTTTGATTTACAAAAAAAAATCTACAACTGATAAAATAATTGTGGACAAAATTCTGGGAGGGTCAGAGAGGGTGACAAGTTTTCTCTGGGTGTCTAGGGGAGCATTTCCCAGAGAGGGATATTTTGGGATTTAGAGGATGAAGAGGGACAAAACAATGGGAGAAAAGCATTGTAGGCCTAGAGAAGAAAGCATGAGAGACAGAAGAGAAGGTATTGGACAGTCTGAAAACTTTGAATAGTTTAGTATTAAGAAACAGATTATGACTGGCTGAGTATCGCAGGGAATGAAAGCAGAATATTGACTTGGAGCCAGATTTTGAAGCTTAAACACCATGATAAGAATCTCAACTTTAGTTAGTCAGTAAAAGAGAAACACTAAAATACGTTACAAGAGGGAACAGCATATTCTAATTTGACATATAAAAGAGAACCCAGCTGTGGTAGAAAATAATTGTTTTAATACCTATCAACTAATTTCTTTAAAAGAAAACTTTTTTGGCGGACCACTAAAATCATAAAGTTAAGGTGGGTTATGATTATGTCTAAGTTTACAAAATAAACTGTCTGCATGGGTTTGCCAAAAGGTACTGAAAAGAGATGATGGAAAATTGCTACCAAAATAATATATATAACTAAAAAGGGAATTCTTCCTTCAGTCTTGCGAAGAAACATTAGCATGTTCCCATATGTCAGTAAAAATAGATTATGAAAGATCTTCAATCTTGAAGAGTTTGAAGAATTAGAGTTTTATTGGTATTATAAAAAAAATAGCTTGCTAACCATGCAGACAATATTTTTCCTGATTTCTTACTTAGAAGTACTATTTTTTTCCTCAAAAATCACAAACAGGTCTGAAAGACTTTAATTTTTGCAATGTCATGAAAATACAAAAAGAAAAATAAAAAAAAACTTTAGTTATTTTTCAAGATAAACCATTCATCCTTGCATTAGAGAAACCATCATAGTAATATATCTAGGGTAGAAGACT